TGGGGGGAAGGGGGCTCGCTCCTCCGCCGGCGGGTTGAGAGCCGTTGGGGCAGCGCCTCGCCCAGGGGCATCCGTCTGAACCCGACACCCATTTTAAAAGGCTGTGGGGTTAAACGCAACAGAAAAAACAAACAAACAAAAAGGTATCGGTACTGATTCATTCAGTTCAGGTGAGGTGCAATTGCACATCGTTTTCCTCAGGACTTTGTTTTGGTTCCGCAGCGCGGCGTTGTGAGCGGCGTTCCTCCGGGCGGCCTGGCACACCTTTGGATTGAACACTAATTTGGGTGTTGGTGCTTTAGCTGGTGCCAGCTGCCGTTGTAATGACTAATAGTAACCTAAGTGTTGGGCAGTTGGTATTTTGAAACATATAATATATGATATTGCTGAAAATCTGCCCTTTTTAAGGCCTTTTTCTCATGGTAACAAAGGTGTTTGAGCACAAGAAACTCTGTTGAAAGACCTTTCCGTGGATTTAGAAGGACAGTGTTGCCTGCTGAAATCTTAGTCCGCCCCCAGTGTTTCAACAAGTAGTTCAAACACAGTTTGAGACATTATTAAGACTGGGTGTTACAGTTGCTGGTTTGCATTAAGCACAAGTGGCTGTCCACCACTGGGGCTTTTTCTACAGTGCTCTAAGGGGAAACTAGGATATAATCTCAGTTGTCTAAATCCTTTCCAAAAAAGCAAAGATAATTCATTCTACAAATCTAATCTATTTTTCCTAATGGAAAATCAAATGAGATGCTTGTTAAAGTCTTTTGACAACTAGACTTCCCCTTTGATACTCTGTTATCCTTGATGATAACTTGATAAAACACTTCTGAAGGAAAAAAAACCAAAACACTTTACCTCTGAATGCATCAAAGACTTTAAAGCATCAGTCTCCTCAGTTCCAGGTGTACTTTTTTGTGGCCGGCACAAATTAGAGAGACTCTCGCATACTCATAGGCTGCCTTTCATCAAGTAGATAATAGCACTTTATTATTTATATTGAACACTCTCTTGCAGCAGTCAAAGATGGCATTTCTATTGAGTAATGAGCTTGCTTTAAATTTTCAATAGTGAACGAGGAAGAAATGCATAGCAGCATCTTTTCCCTGCATGATCAATCAAGGTACTATGTATATAAGTATTTAAAGATGAGAAAGTGATGGATTTCGATGCTTGGGAGGGGAGGGAGGGAGGAAAGAAGAGGTCACTTCAGAACTATGATCCTGAGGAACAAAGTTGATTGCATGGGACTGTGCATTATAGGTTGTCTTGTAGGTGCTATGATAAAAATTCTAGAATCAAATGCAGATTGGCTGGGATTAAAAACTTTATGCTTGTGCTAGTGGGCTTGGACGTTTCTTCAGGCTTTTGCTACCTCGGGGATCATTCTTGAAAGCTATGAAGAGCTAGAGGCTGCATTTTTCTCAGTAGACTTATTGTTCTTGTTTGATTGTTTGACATTAGTGGCTGCTACAGAAAAATAAGATACTAAACATAACTATTTGGTGTTAAGGCCTGCTAAATTAATTCTGCTGAGCAATTTCTACCTTGGAGATTGCGCTTGGTGTAGAACTGATCTTCATATACAGCGCTGAAGTGCTTTACGGAGCTGAAACAGGAGAGCTGCTGGTGAAAATGCTCCTGCTTTCCTCAGGAGATGAAGAACCCGTTGTCTGTCTCCAGGTTGAGTTTTCTGGCTCAACTGACTCCTAATCACTCTTTGAATAGTTCTTCACCACAGTCTTGTCCTTCAAACACTTAGCAATGATGCAAGTCTGCCTGGTGGGTTTCGTGTTCACATGTCATAGCGTGAAGTCAAGCTTCGCCTCATCCTTTCTTACCTGAGGCAAGCAGTTAGTTTAGGTGGGGAAAGCCAAACTTCACCGACTGCCACCTCCAAATGTTGATGTTCAGACTTTCTTCTTGGGTAGGTAAACAGTCATTGGCTTAACAAGTCTGAAGAAATTACTTCAGCAGGGCTAGATGGAGGGCTCAGGATATGGTACAAATACCTCCCTTTTCTTTTCCCTCCTCCAGTCTTGTTTGTTTGGTTGTTTTTTGTTTTACAAATTTTTGCAGAAGATTTGCACAAATGCTGGTTTCCTCTTACAGAATAGAGAGCAAGGAAGAGTAGCATATGCTTCCTGTGGAGTGCATGCTTAAACAACAAGGTCAGAGAAAGCTGTCCTGTTCTTTACAGAGGAAAATGAAGAAGGGTAAGAAAAGCAGCATAGAACTGAGGTGGTGGAAAGGCTAGTCTGTAACTTTCTGGTATGTAGCGCAGCGTTCCACGTCTTGTCCTAAAGTCCTCGTGTTCAGTCTGTACAGGACATCATGTCTCAGCTGTGAGGTCTCATGACCTCACAAAATAGTATGTGTTGGTCCTGAAAGACACCGTATCCTATTCTTCTGAGTCAGAATGGCACTGTGGTGTGTGATACTTCCCCCCCCCGCCCACCCCTTCCTTCTTGAGAAAAAGGAGCTGGTAAGATAGTTCAGCAATGCCAAAGGAAGATCTTCATGCTACCTTCTTGTGGTTTTTACTGTGCTGAGTGTCTCTGTCCTTAGAATTTAGATGTGTAAGGAAAGATTTTTTGATGTAAAAGTTCTCTTTCTGGGTAAAATGTAGCCTGGCGTTCAGGTTGCGGTAAAGGTTGCTAACATTTTTTTTTTTATTTTTTTTTTTCTCTGAACATAAGTTGTAGCAAAAACTTATTTGATGAAACTGAGGAACAGCCTGTCAGCTTAACACATATTTGAAAATGTAGGCAGAAATGGCTGCTTCTTGAAAATGCTAAATTGGGTAGTGTTTTTCATTTACTGCAAGACAAAACCTAGATTTAATTTGATCTGACTTGGATAGGTGACAATATCAAATGAACTCTCCATTTTGTTGCCAGAGAGGGAAATTGCTTTGAGTTGAATGACTAGCTTTATTTTGCTTTGCAGTGCAATGTACTGGTTTTGTAGGTGACACGAAGATGCAGGCTACAAAGTAACCTTGTTTAAATGTTGCTCCAAATATTAAATTAGCTCTGGAACTAATATCTTTAGAAGTTTGGGGACCAAAATATCAGGTGCTTAATTATAAATCAAGCCTATGGTTGAGTAGCACGTGAAAACATTCAGAAGACTTGCGGGCTACAGTGTTTTGCTGCCTTCAAGTAGCATGCTGTGTTGTGCTAGACATAGCTAGCCCGGTCAGGTGCCCATGTATGTCGATACAGAAAAGAAAATTATAGTAGAAGATACTTAGCTGGGAAGTGGAAAACCAGCCACAGCTCCGTGTGCAACCTTTAATCCAGGCCTTGTTAAACAAAAACAGAAAGCCTGTGATACTGTGTGAGAAAGATGTGTGGAAGACACAAAGTGTTACTGGAAAAGTATGTCTCTTGCATAATGAGGAATGCAGAGTTTATGAATTTATCTGTAATGCTTTGGATAGGAGTAAACTGCTTATTGGAAGTTAAGCAGGGCCTTGTAATATGACAAAGTCTTGAAGAACACTGTGCTTGTGTTCTGTTGTATCACATCACGTTGTTCCTTGTTCTTTTGTCCAGTTTATCCCATGGGGAGCCTGTCATCTTAGAAAATGAATGGTACTTCCATATTTCGTAACTGTTCGAGGCAGAAAGAAGCTTGATCCTCTTGTTTAGCAATGAAAGATATATAGCATTATACTGCCAGTAAAAACAAACACAATTGTAATGTTGTTTGTTTGTTTGAATTCTTCCCTCTTCAGGTTGGCCTTCGGCAGCTAGATATGTCATTACTGTGTCAGCTGTACTCCCTGTATGAGTCAATTCAAGAATATAAAGGTGCCTGCCAAGCTGACTCGAACGCAGACTGCACATATGCTCTGGAAAATGGTTTTTTTGATGAAGAGGAGGAATACTTCTAAAAGCAGGAAGATTCACCTCCAGGCTGACCGAGGTTCTTTTGTCCTCCTCTCCCTGTAATGCACCTCGGCAAGAACGACTGGAATCTGTATGGATCCCTCTTCCTGAGAAGGAACACCCAGCTACCCCGAGTTGTGTTAAATTCACTTATTTTAACAGGCTGTCAGTACAAGTTACTCATGCAAATACCACTTGAGGAAAGTGCTGTACTCTAACTTTTGAAGAGTCCTCAGACATGCTTGACAAGAGTTTTCAGTTTAATTTGCAAGGTGGGTGTTTTCAACTTATAAACGTTGGTAGCTTATAACTGGAATTTTAATCGTAGAAGACAGCAGCGACTTCCTGAGTTGTAATAACTACTTAAGGGGGGAGGGAAGCCTCCGCTGTGGTGTAAATAGCCATCAGTGATGATATTTTTTTTTTTTGTCAACGGTATTGATAAATGCATTTTGAACAGGCATCTGGATGCACGCACATCCTCAGCTCTACTAAGCTAGTTCTGCTCTTATCAGCTGCATCCAGTTTTGTACTGGGTGGATTGTTTACACAGTTTAAATTTATTTTTTTTCTCCTTAAGCTAATTTTGACTTTTCCTTATTCCTAGCTTACAACCTGTACATGTGACAGTGAATGTTATCGGCAGGATTTTTTCTGTTGGTCTAATTCACTTTCTTGGTACTGCCACTTGGCATTAACTTTTATACTGTTGTCTGGGTTTCTCGCATCAACATAGCTCTTTGACCTGCTAAACTCTGTTCTGAAATGGTTTGCTTAGCTTTTACTGCACTGCATAGTAAAAGCACAGATTCAAACATAGTCTGTCTGCCACTGTGTGGCTTGGAATAACATGAACTCTTGTGCAAGTGTTCTTGATCATATGAAGAATAAAGAAACCTCTCATATGACAAAATGGGACAAATTGCAATATTTTATACTGGGTGAACTTTGTTTCCGTAAGGTAGACTACAGCTCTTTTTTAAAAAAGCAAAATAAGTATTTTGAGCACATACTTTGCATATGTTAAAACTTTTTATACTAACTTGTTCTTTGAAGTATAACTTATTTTTGTTTTCAGAACTTACTAAAGGACTTGGTTAAGTTTTTGTTATTTCATAGTGTGTACATGTAATGCTTAATCAGCTTGGAAAATGAGAGTTGCCAACTATCTGAGTCTTCACCCTTCTCTATTTTAAGTAAAATCAGCTCCCAACGCAATTTTCATTTCTTAAATCCTAGAGATTGCTGTAAAGCACAGTGCCTGAATCTTGACACAAGCTAATAATTAAGGGCCTAAATCTCAAAGGGTTTTTGCATGGTTCATGTCTGGCATGCATACAATTTACAGGAAGAATTGGAGATCACATTCTGGGGTAGCTCCTGTCTTAGTTTTTAGCAAAGGCTAGGATGTTGCAGTGATAAAAGCCAAGAGACTCCCAGAGTGGAGGTTTTGTGTGTTTCCTCTAAACCTGGCTTATTTTAGTGGAATTTAAAGGCCACAAGAGTAAAGACTGTGATGTAATTGTGTGTGTGTGTGTATAAGTTCTTAATCTACTCTGTGGCAATGGTTGGATTTTTTTTAAATGTTAAGTCTGGTCTAATTACTTCACTCACCCAAAACTAAAATGAATGATAAGGCAAACACAGATAATCCAAATGGCTACATCTGTATTTAAAAAGTTGTGTGTGTATGTGTGTGTATATATATATATGTATGAGTATATATACACACATATGTACATACAACTTTACGCTTTGACTTAAGAATGTATCCACTTTGAATATAATTTGCTGTGCTTTTGGTATTTAGATGAGGTTTTTTCTAGTCTGTTGAAGTACTGATATTTTCTTGCTCTTGCCTAAAAAATAAAAAGCATGATGTTTAGCATAACTTCTTCCCGTTGTGTGTATTTTAATTTACAATTTCGGTGAATCCAAACCCTCCCCCTTTACCAACCTCCTCCTAAAAAGCCTAGGACTAGTCATCACCACTGGACTGAAGCAAGCAGTTTTTAAAGTATGGTGGAAAAGGTTCTACCTGTCTATATTTGGAATGGGAATTTCCTACTTCTCTCTTAATTGGATTTTACTTTTTTTTTAATTCAACAGGGAAAATCCTGTCTCTACTAGAATTAAAGATTCTGTTTTAACATCTTTATGTGGTGCCATTCATTAATAGTCTTGCTAGTAAGAATGGACTTGAGCAACGTTCACAGTACTTTCTCTTATATAAATGAAACTTAAAAAGCAAAATGATTTGTGTTTCTAATCTTGATGCAGCATGCTTGTGATTTGGGGAACGTGGAATGCTTGGCTGGTATTCACTATACCAAGAGAAGCATAAAAGTCTCAAGGCATCACTCTACAACATCATCTGGAAAACCGACAGATTATTAGAACTTGCTAAGTTTTCAGCACCTTGTCCCTTTTAATAACACCTTGCATGGGAGAGAAGTTATAGTCTATATTCCTAAGGCAAATTCAAATGCTGTGAAGGCTGTCGAGCTAGACAAAGGTTTTAAAGACAGTACATTTGTTACTAAGTCAATAAGCAGTTGCTCCCGAGGCAGATTTCTGTGCCTGGTGTTTCACTTGTGAGCTCCATCTCCTCACCACATTATAACAGCATGAAGTAGGGAAATTGCTTTGAAAGAGAGGTGCTTGCTGGGGAAGTATAGCTTAAATACTGAGTAATTGTTACGTGCAGCTTCAAGTCACAGTTTGGTTGTAAGCATGACAGAACAAGCTGTGTTCCTACAGGAGCTTGCTACCCTTGGTCCAAACTACATACCAACAACAATCCCTTCCCCCTTTTTACTCTGTAACCCCAATTTGAATTACACATAACCTTTTAAAGATACCTTTTCAGAGTATAACGAAAGAAACTCTTGAAAACTTCCCTACCCAGTAATACCATGCAACTCTGAGTCCCACACAGCGCAGCCAGCTTAGCCAGTACTTAACAGGTACAGGAAAAGGCAGGTTTTCAAGGAAATGAGGACAGTTAGGCTCCTGCTGCTCAGAGATGGAAAACTGGGAGTATAGCGCTTCAGAAGGCAATCTACCATGGGTAACTCTTCACTGGCCTTTCTCAAAGGGCATACAAATGTGGTAGAGTGGTTAGAAATAAGGAATTATTGGGACTGTACTAACTATATTTGAAGGGTTTTTTTTAACAACATGCCATCCTCATTTTATTGCTATGACAACTGCAGAGTCATACAGTCATAATTACATCATGTCTAGTCCTTTTGAAATGTTCTCAGTCTACAAAAAGAGAAGAATCTGGAAGAAGTGCTTTACTCTTAAGAAAGTCAGTGTCATTAAAAAAATAGGCAGCTGATGCCCTGGCAGCGATAATAGAGGGGCATGTAGGTCCAGCTTCAGCCCCTAGTGAATTTGCCGTCAGCCCTATTGATTTTAGCAAGGATGGACTTCCAAGCAGGGATCTTGATCTGAAGTCAGAACTGCAGCTCCATCTCATTTATTTCCAACACTGTCTAAGAGCTGCATGGTATCTCCAACAACCTATGCTAACACACAAGAGGTATTCCAATACACACTGCAAATGTTTTCAAAGGTACTACTTTTTAATGCAGTCAAACTTGCAGTAGACAATCATTTGGATAACTTGTAAAAAAGATCAGTGTGGCTTCACAGAAAGAGTTTTCCAACAAAGGTGGGGAAGAATTGAATGGGTAGCTTGGACTTGTCTTTCAGATGCTTGCTAAAGTTGAGTTTTTAACACAAAATTTAGAAAATTAAAGACTGGGAAAAGGATTGTGAAAAATTATTGTATTTGTAAATAATAATTCAGTTTCTAATCATAGGTAACCGAATAATTTTGCATGAATTTCTAAAATAAGTTGATTTAAAAAAAAAATATTTAAGTTTTCTTGTCAATAATCTGGTTTGCAAAATTTTAAATGCAACAAAGAGAATAGCAAAACCACCAGCATCTTTATTAAAAAGTTATTCAACGTAGTATCTATTTATTAACCTAAGGTTTTGCTTTGTATTTAGTCTAGTTGCCAAGGAACCAAAGTTTATACATTGGCTGTCCTTGCATTTTCTGTCAGTCTGTTTGCTATAAACCACACCTGATAGAAGTTGGAAAGTTGCTCTGTTTTTATAAACCTTGTAGAAATTAGCAGCTGGAGGAGGAAAGAGACTTACTGCTGCTTCCACGGACAGAATGCCAGGCAAAACTCACCTTTTCAGTCCTGTTTGGCCACGTGGCAGCCCGACGGCAGAAGCTGGGTGCTCACCTGGCTGCCGGCAGCTCTGCGGCAGCCGGGGAACGCGCTGTAGCTTCCCCCGTGCTGGCTGCTGATGGGTGGTGTGGGAAGGAAGTGAGAGTCTTCGATCGCGTCTTTCAGCGAGTGAGGATGAAAACTGGGGATCCAGCAAAAAGGGGAAGGGGCTCAGGGAAGTCCCCAGGTGTTGCCTTCGGGACCAAGCGGGGTGCGTTGCGGTGGGGGATATCACACGGCTTTTGGAGGATGGAGGCTTGCGCAGTTCAGGAGATGCTGAGGTCCTGGGACGCAAGTTGTTTAAGGTCCTGTGTTTCATTAGTTCTGTTGCTCACAGCTTGAGAGATTTTTCACATTGTTTTTCAACCTGTTTTAAAGTCTGGGTATATTCTACTTGTCATGTATTTTTTAATGTTGCAGGTACACAGTTTTACTTAACTGGAAATAATGCATTTGCCTTGCTGCCTCGCTAAAGCCATTAATTTTGTTTGAGGAATTAGGTTGTTCTAAGGACAAGGGGACTAATTCCCACACTCTGTCGTTCAGCTGACTGCTGGGGAGGAATGTGAAATTGGAGGATTAATCGGGTATGTGCCAAAGGGAACCCTATCAACTGGTCTTTTCTTCTCCAACATGCAGCTTTGTGTCTTTCAGCTACTTCAAAAGAATTTACTGCTGTTTTTGTGCTACCTGCTTGTTGAGTATATATTATCAGAGTAGTCTGAGGTTCATGTTCCTTTTCATATACTACA